TTCAAGATCAAGAAATGGAATTTGTTCAATATTAAAACAATGGCAAGGTAAGAAGGTCCCATTTAGACCATAAAAAGTGAGTTGTGAAGACTGAGGATTCCTTTAGCCTTGATTTCTATATATAATAGGTCCTAAGAAGCTTTTTGAGAAGTTTCTATAAGGCTTGGAAACAAAGCAAGCCTAAGATCCTTCTTTGGCAACTTCCTAAATCATCTAAAGCCTCCTAGAACCTTCCAGGATCTCATATGACCTTCTAAAACTTTCTTAGAATCTATTGGAAGCTTCTAGAATCTTCTTAGAACCTATTAGTACCTTTTTGAATCTTCTAGAATCTTTTAGAATCTTTTAGAATCTTCTAGGATCTACAAGAACCTTCTTAGAACCTTCTAGAACCTCCTAGAACCTTCTCGAACTTACTTCATTTGTATGTTTGTGACATAAAGGTACATTCAATCTTTCATGTTTTTCCTTTAGAGACTTATTCAAAATCAACAATTTCAAAAAAAATACAACCATCACTATCTTGTATTAAAATAGATAATCATGTAGAATATGAAGTAGAAAAGATTCTTAATTTTTAGCAAAGAAGAGGCAAGTTGGAATATTTTCTTTATTAGTGTTGCTACAATATCAATGAATGGATGTAAAAATCAGTAAAAAATCTAGTTAATGCATCACAAAGGATAGAAGAGTTTCATTTATGCTATCATCAAAAATCTAAATCTATTTTAAGAAGATTTATCTATGAAGCTACTATTAAAATATTATATATAATAAAAAAATAGATATTTTTTACAACAACCTTAGAATTTAGTATATCCAATTTATAATTTAATATGTTGGATTGGAGAATTTTTAGATCATGAATAATAAAGCAAAGTCAAAGTTGGAGCTTTTTTTTATGATTGCCACCAAATCAATTATTTCAACTCTTGCAACCTTTACAAGATCATCCTTGAGATTAAGTGAATCTTCTTAAGAAAGTAAACGCCTATATTATAATCAATTCAAAGAAGAAAATCTTGAAGATGATGCTTGAGCTTTGATTATTCGATTATAAATATAGAACCAATGTTCTTCGTAGAACTTAGAGTTAAAATGATAGATGATATTCTAGACATCTAATAAGAAGATTTTAAAAATATTCTTAAAATATTCTATTAGGTTTTAGAAGATTTTAAAAGATTCTTAAGCTATTTTAATAATAAGTTTTAAAATATTTTAAAAGATTTTAATAAAAGATTCTATAAATATTCTTAAAATATTTTAAAATATTTTAGAAGATTTTTAGAATATTTTAATAGATTCTAAAAAGTTTTAAGAAGATTAAAGAAGATGTTTGAGAAGCTTCTTAAAACTATTTCATCTTCAACAATATAACTTTTTAACAAACTTCTTAAGATTACTTTATCTTCAAGCAATATGAAAACTTTTCAAGAAACTTTTTAATACTTAATATATACTGAATTTAAGGTTGAAAAGATCTTTAGTCTCAATAATACATCTTCTAGAATTCTAGCTCACTTTTCTTGCTATTGATCTTATATTCATCTACTTCAATCAAGTTTTTGTTAGTTTTTTTATTAAAACTATTATGTTTAATTTTTCTAATTGGTCTTTCATAAAATATATTTATTACAAAGATTTTTTTGTGTGTGAACCATTGCCACATTTGGACATTATCTCTTTAGTAATGGAAACAAAGTGAAGTCTAACTACACTTTGCTCTTGCAACTAAGCACTTGAAATCACTCTTGTTCATCAATATATACATTGATTCAAAAAATTGTTTCAATGTTGACATATTTTAGAAAGAATGGTGTATTACAGATGAATTGTAGTGAATAATGATACATGGTTTATATAGCAAATAAAGTATTCTTTCATAGCTACCAAATAAACTCAAGTTGAAAGAATCTATTAGGTAATTGAAAAGCTATGGCCAATCTAATTTGAAGTAAAATTGAAACAATTTTTTGAGTGTGGTGTCTAATTTTTGAATTCTATCAATTACTCAATATTACAACATTCTATCATCATAAGATTTACTATGACAATATTATTACCAATCTAATGACATCATTAATACTTACTAACAGCTATAAAAGCATCATTCTTAATTACAATTCTTGGCACGAACATATTCCAAATTATCACATTCTAGGACCTTCTAGAATCTTCTATAAATTTTTAGAACCTTTTAGATATTTGTTGAATCTTCTACAATCTTTTAGAAAGTTTCATATACTTCTAGAAGCCTCTTTAGACTTCTAAAAACTTCTATAAAAAGTACCATAGACTTTTGTAACCTTCATTATAATGTAATAGGAGTCTTTGGAACTACTTTTGCTATCAATTTCATTCTTTGTCTTTAATCTTCACATATTTCATTGTCAAATTCTTGTATCCTCAACAATTCCTTGAACAATTATGAGACCCATTCCTTGCTCTCTTCAAGACAACATCACCTTAGCTCTTTTTCATTTTCAAAAATCTTATAATTAAGTTGCTTCTAAACTTGGCTGCAGTAAAGCTACTATATCTAGGCTAGCAAAAAAGATCACTTTTACTAGAAAAAAGCTTAAATTAGGCAAACCAAAGAATCTCAATGTAGTTCATGAAAGAGCAATCATTTGCCAAATCAACATTGGAAAGGATAAAAATACTATTGAGATTGCTAAAAACCTTAATAATATTATTAGTAATCCTATGTCAATCCAAATCATTTAAAATGTTCTCAAGAAATAGAATATAAAAGTCGTTGTGAAGAAGAAAAAACCACTACTATCTAGCTGCTATTAGAAAAAATGTTTGGATTTTGCTCTAAAGTAAAAGAAATGGATTGTACAAGATTGAAAGAAGATTATTTGGTTAGATGAGACAAAAAATCAACAAATTTAGATCAGATAGCAAAAAGTCGGTGTAGAAACAAAAAGATCAGTCCTTACTTGATATTAAGATCCAAGAAATAGTTAAGCATGTGGATGGAAATATAATGGTATGAAATTGTATGGAATGGAATGGAATTGGGAGGATGGTAAAGATTGAAGGGAGGATGGATGCCAAATAATTCATAAAAATTCTTAAAAAATACTTGCTTTTTAACATTGAAGAATTTGATATTTCTAAAAAAGAGGTGATTTTTCAACAAGATAACGACTTTAAGCATAATTCAAAAGTAGCATGGAAGTAGTTTGATCATCATAAATTTAAAGTAATGGATTGGCCTACTTAGACTTTTGATCTTAATTCCATTGAATATCTTTCGGAGTACCTCAAATACCAACTCAATACAAGGAAGATAAAACCAAAAGAAGTTTGGAATTTTAAAAAAAAAAAAAAAAAAAAAAAAAAAAAAAAAAAAAAAACTACAAAACTACAAAATGAAATAATATTAAAGCAATTTTGTGCCAAAATTTAATAGAAAGTATGCTTAGGAGGTTGGAAGTAGTTATCAAGGCCAAAAAAGGTCGTTCAAAGTATTGATATGTAATTGGATACCACACTCAAAAAAATATTTCAATACTATTTCAAATTAGATTGGTCATAGCTCTACAACTATCTAATGGATTCTTTTCAACATGGATTCATTTGGTAGCTGTAAAAGAGTACCTTATTTGTCATACAAATAACATGTCATTATTCACTACAATTTACCTGTAATATACTATTCTTTTTAAAACATGTCAACATTAAAATAGTTTTTTGAGTCATTGTATGTAAGATATTTAATACAAGTGTCATTATTAGCTCGTCTTCTATGTTTTTTACCTCACATAGTCTATAATATTTGAACAAGCACATATTTATATGCTTTTTTAGATCCTAATTAATCTTTAAGTTTTCAACAAAGCAACAAAAAAATAAAAGAAACATATGATCAAATATAGAAAGAAGATGGTCCTATCTTAGATTAGAGGATTTCAAGCCATAAAGACCATTTATGAGAGGTACTACTTTGTACGCGCTTTGGAATCCAAGCAATGTTGAGCTTACTTTATTGTTTGAAAGAGAGGAGTAAAAATAAGAGAATTTAAAATTAATTATAGTAAGAAAAGAAGGTAATCATGAAGGGTTGGAATATAGAAAATAGAAAGAAGGGGGGGGGGGGATTTTGAGATGAAGGTTGGAAATATGAGAGGTTGAGATGAAGGCAATAATTTTAATGATGGTTTTTGGAGAGGATCCATTTTTTTTTAAATGATGGTTACAATAGGATAGATTAATTAAGTTAATGGATGGGTCACTTTAACTTCTCTTTGTTTGTTTGTTTGTTTGTTTCTTTCTTTCTTTCTTTCTTTATATATATATACATATATATATTCCTAGCTTTCTCAACTAATCTATTAGCCCAAAGGTCAAAATTAATAAAAAGAGTCCAAGAAAAGACAATCAAAGAAAAATTGTTTTTCTAATAACTTTCTAAAACTTGAAAATAACAAGTAAGGAATAAAACTTGCCTTAAACTCAATCCCCTCAAATGATAACCCATTTGAAGGTATCCATGCAGAATCAATGCACACATTATACACCTCCACATTCGCAAGAAACTACAGTATCTGGATGGACATGCAGGGAGCGTCACTTGGAATCGAACCCAAGACCGGTTAAGCGGTCTAGGCCAGGGGTGAGAGGAAGGAGGAGAGGAAGCCACGAAGTCTAGAGAGTGAGGTCGGCGGCGGCGGCGGTGGGAGCGTCACGGCGGCACAAGCAGCAGAGAGCAGTAGCGAGGAGTGGCAGCGCTATGGCCGCGACCTGCATCAGCATCGCGATTCGGAATCGTAGATGATTTTCCAGACAGAGTCTCCCTCGCTGATTTCGTTGCTCTCTCTCGCGCAGGAGTGACGTCGCTCCTGTTGTATCCACGACCCCTGCTGCCCATTCGTCCGCCAGGGCTTCCCTTTTCCCCAGACGCTCGCAGCTTATCGTCTCCCGCCTGGGGGCCTGCGTTTGCTGGGGTGGAGCTGCGGAGCTCGGATTTTGTTACCACCGTGTTGGAATGGTCGTGATTCGATGATTTGATGAGGTAGGGTTTGGAAGTCGTGTGAGTAGGGTTGTCGGGGCAGCCTCTGGAGGTGCGGGGAGGAGGTTTGTGCGGTCGGAGAAGAGTAGGGTTTGGTGGTTGACGAGGGGGAAAGAATGGGGGCGGGGACGAGGGCGGCATCGGTCGGGCAGGAGCTGTTTCTGTATGCCGTCAGTGCGGCCATGAGTTGCTTGGTGTTGTTTGTTGGGCTGCGTCATCTTGACCCGAACCGAGCTCAAATTAAGAAGGCTCAAGAGCAGAAGAAGGAGATTGCGAAGCGGCTAGGCAGACCTCTTATTCAGACCAACAGCTATGAGGTAGGGGTTGTTGATTCTTGAGGAGGAACTTGCTTTCTGTTCGTAGCTGGGGTCCTTGTGCCGCTAATCGAATTGACAATAAAATCTGGATTATGACATCTGGGGAGTGGAAAGAGGTCTGGTAAAGCTTTCTGAATGCCCGAAGGACATATTGTTGGAACGAAGTTCACAGTATCACGAGTGTAAGCGGGTCTCTCACATAGTCAGAGTTACGCAATCTTTCTAAAAATTCTGGTTACGACTGTAGTTTTACTGAAGATCATTGCACCAGATCAACTGAAACGTAACCTATAGATGTGCACACCTCTAGCCTTTACTTGATGTGCTGAGTAGTCTCGTTATGCCCGGCCTCTGTTCTCTTTTCACTTTAATTGACTTCATTATCCACTAGTTTTGTGAACATTTATTGGGGGATGGCATTTGATTAAGGACACCCTTGTCATGTACTATCTAGACGAGCACCATATATTCACGGCCTCTTGCTGAACACGCTTCGTAACCCGCTGTTATGTCTGTTGGGCGTTGCAAACCTTAAGAATCTGGGGAATCAACAGAAGTCACATCAATTGTCAGTTGTGAAAATTCGATGACTCTCACATGTCGTCTTAGATAAGATGTTGTAGGTTTCATACTCTTTCTAGGTTTTTATTTGGTAAAGTTTTGGTACTTGTAAACTGAGTGCCATGGATATAGATGAGAAGATCAGCGAGTATTTGGACCACAAGTGTTAGGTTCATATTAAATTTTTGAGATGTTTAACATTGGCTGGTTAGGAATAATACGTCCTTTATGGATGTTTTAACTCGTTGAAATTGCGATGTGCAGGATATGATAGCTTGTGACGTCATCAACCCAGAGGACATCGATGTCACTTTTAATTCTATTGGAGGGCTTGAGTATGTTAAGCAATCTCTTCATGAACTAGTGATATTGCCTTTGCAGCGGCCCGACCTGTTTGCACATGGAAAGCTTCTACGTCCACAAAAGGGTGTACTTTTGTTTGGTCCACCTGGTACAGGAAAAACTCTTCTGGCGAAGGCTATTGCCAAGGAGTCACGTGCTGTTTTCATCAATGTCCGCATATCAAATTTGATGAGCAAGTGGTTTGGCGATGCTCAGAAGCTAGGTACAATCTTTTGAAGCATGATTCCGATTGTTGTGTGAGTTTTGATGGGCTTGATACAGCAAATGTCAGATCTAGTAAGTGACATGTAACTCATATTTAGTATTTGAAGAATCACGAATGGAGAGCCCGGCAGTACTTAACGACGACCTTGATTTGCAGTTACGGCAGTTTTTACACTCGCCTACAAACTTCAGCCATCGATTATTTTCATTGATGAGGTGGACAGCTTTTTGGGACAGCGTCGCGTTACTGAGCACGAGGCTCTTACGAACATGAAGACGGAGTTTATGGCTCTTTGGGACGGATTCACTACAGATCGTAATAATTTCACTTTATCTAGAGTGCCATTTTTTGTGAATTAATTGGTCAGTTTCATGCTCAGGTTTTTTTTTTTTTTTTTTTTTTTTTTTTTTTTTTTTTTTTTTTCAGAAAACGCAATTTCCGAACCTTTGCTAGAGTTAATTAATCTTTGCGCAACACTTTCATTGACGTAGTCTTTGTGTCAGAAAACGCGCGAGTGATGGTTTTGGCTGCGACAAATAGGCCTTGGGAGCTTGATGAAGCAATTTTAAGAAGACTCCCTAGAGCATTCGAAGTCGGTATGCCTGACAAGACACAGCGTGCTAGCATATTGGAGGTTATTCTTAAGGATGAACTATGTGAAAGCTGTGTGGATATTGAACAAATTGCGAGCCTCACCGACGGCTACAGCGGGTCAGACTTGACTGAGTTGTGCAAACAGGCAGCTTATTTGCCCATTCGTGATTTGTTGGATGAGGAAGGGTCCCATGCTGATTTCCATTCCGAAGATAAGGTTCGTCAACATCTATCATCTACAAAGAAGTTGAGTAGAATAACACGTATTATCATGCATCCTTGTGTGGGTTTTGCCGAATGAACTACGATGGAAGTCATGCTTTTGAACATTGTGTTCGCTCAGAAATTTACTTGATGGTATACCTCCAGGGTCCCAGGCCTCTTCGGCAAACTGATTTTCTGAGCGTTCTGTCCAATGCGCGAACGTCAAAAACTGCTGCTTACGAGTATCAACACAATCGTAGAAGTGCTGTGGGTGGATCACCGATGAGGTCCTCAGGTGGATCCTCTGATGAGCGGGAGGATACTTCGGTTACCGACCTGTTCAAGCTTTTGGCTGCATTTGGTGCTGCCAGTAGTGCTGCTAACAATCGGTAAGTCTTGTGGATGGAGATCTGATGAGGTCTTTGGATGACCCTAAGCAGATGAAGCATTACATTTTTGATCTGTCCTTAGGATGCAAACCACAAATTGAGATTCTGAAAGGTGTAATTTTGGATGGAGCATATTGTACCCTAAGCAGTGGTTCATTGGATTGAGAAGCACATATGCACGGCAATCCTCTGTATTAAGTTCATGACTTGTATACAGGTCAAAGGATTTTAGAGTGTCCTTGTATTAGGGACACGTGGTCCGTTAATAGCCATCTAGATATTTTGTGCATTCATAAGATGTAGTTCGAAACTAGTATTTAGAGAAAATAGGAGGTCAAAACCACACAAAGGTCGGGCTAGCCTTTAACCTACTATGATCACTTCGGGCAATTTCAATCGGGTTGCATCTAGTTTTCAGATTAGGGTCTTTGTAGAACCTGCCTCCATCTATAATGATTTTTCTGCAGAGTCTTATTTGATAGCTAGTATTTAGGATTTCCTCTGAAGATGCAATGCAGAATGCCTTGAAGAGAATCATTTGTAGTGCTTCATCTGAATTCGGATATTTCACCCCGATTCAGAAATGCTCATTACTCCTGGCCATCTTTAGGCTGCCCTTTTTTACTCAAGCTTTTACGAACTAAAGACGAAAGCACCATCTTTGCTGTGCTGCTCCTCTCTTTGAGATCTCAAAAGATATGCAAATGATAACATTACAAAAGTTTGCTCCAGCTGAAACCAGTATGAGCGTCTTTCTCAAATTTGTGAGGCAACCGCCTCAAATTATTGGTAAATGGAAAGAGCTTTCTAACTTTCGTTTTGTTGAAGGTTTCCGCTCTATTTCCAGGCTCGTGGTATAAGGTGGACACACTTTTTCTAATAAACATTTCTCTAACGATTCTAATCAACTTTTTATGTGCCTCTTGGATCTTTGCCTTCCATGTCCTTTTGTTTCAGGTTTTAGTTTTTCATCTCTGTGATCTTCTCGAATCACAAGCGATTTTTGGTCTGTATTGATTATATATTGGAAGAGCTCTACTTTGGGCTAATCAAATTCCTAGATTAATGTTTCTTGTACTAGTCAAATATAAGGAGGACAGTTGGATTTTGGTATTGAACAAAGAAAATTGTTCTTTTTATTTGAATCACAGTAGCAATGGAAGTGAAGTTAGCATTTACAATGAAGTTTTTTGTATTTATGTTTGTTTACAGAATACATAATTATCTAAGTCTAGCTTTCAATGGTGTTATGAGAATTTTATATGAAACTATGTAAGTGATTAACAAAACTTATAGGGTCCCAGTTACTTCAATTTTGGCATTAACCAAATTTATAAATTAAAGCTATGAGTTTTTTAGTGATCTTCATTAACAAGCTCTTCTAATGTAGGAAATTGTCCCATTTGTTTTGTATTAAGTAAAGGAAAAAATTTTGCCCATAAAGGACATGAAGAACATTACTGGAAATTAATGAATTGAAGCTTGATGAGTCAAAATAGAACAAAGTAAAGTTTATTTCCACTATTGGTAGAGATGTGGTTGCTTTTTGAAGCAAGTGGTCTTGTACAACATCCCCTCCAATGATATATCCATTAGAGTTGAGTGGTTTTAGACTTCCCAGTAGCAAATCAAAACAAAGTTGTCTTTAATGTAAGATGTGGTAAGCATAACACAACCACTACTTCCAACAAAAATACTAAGGCGAGAGAAGCAAGAATCAATTAGAATCCACATTTGATGAAATATCTTGTTTAGGTTGGCTTCTAATGCCCTTTGTAACATAGATTCATTTACTATAGTTCTTATAAAGAGATTGTATTAATCTATGAGTTGTTGAATAAATGCATAATTATATGTTATTTTCAATTAATTCTATTGTGATCAAACCAAATCTAAAAAATCAACAATTGATGTGGTGAACAAGCCTAGGAAAGATGCAAAGGAATTGAGAATGCATCCCAAGAGTTGCTCTCACAACTAGATAATAGTACTACAATGTCATTTAAACCAACAAATAATATAACAATAATGCCATGAAACAATCATATTGTACTATGTACTAAAAAAGGCTTCCAACTTATTGGCTACCATATTGATGCCATAGCACATAGAAGATAATCAATTGCATTGGCAAAAAAATGCTTAAATATGACAGTCTTTACAATGTATATATCATTAAATATGACAGTCTTTACAATGTATATATCATTAAATATGACAGTCTTTACAATGTATATAATGAGAGAGATATAGAGAAGGGAAAAAAAAAAAAAAAAAAAAAAAAATCAATTCAAGGTTCAAATCTATGTTGAAATAAAGTTATAGATTATCTATCAAATTTTAAAAGCATTAGTATTATTATTCAATAGTGGCAACATTAACATGGAGCATGAGGAATGCTCAACAAAACATCAAAAAAGAATGCAATAACACAAGCCACCATCCACTAGATATTTAACAAAGATGCAATATATCTTTTCTTATCTAAATATGAAGAAACTTGGTGGCAATTTATCAATAGCCACTCCAAAACTTTACTTAGAAATATTCAAAAAGCACTAATATAATACATGCATTTGGATTTTATTTAGAGGATGAAAACTTCTTTGCAACACAATTAACCAATTACTCCCCTTGCAATTGCTATAAAATCAAAACCACCCAAGTCAACAATGTCTATAATGTCTTGTTTTACAACAAGGTTAAGTTGATACATCAAGCACTAAATGTCATAAAATATTTTTGAGATTGGAGCTTTAATTCTTATTGAAAATTATTAGAAATAACAAGTCACGTTTGGTGCTCCATTGCTTGATGATTCAATTATTTTATCCCTCCAATTGAAGCACATTACATCAAGAAATTTTACCAAAATATCAAAAAATAATTTGTCCTTGTGAAATTCATCAAAGAGAAGAATGGCTAGCAAGTGGAATGGTAACAATTTATTGTCATTTGTCATAAGTGAAAAAGAAATGCTAGTGTTTAAATGAGAGTTTCCAAAATCATTAGTAGAAACATTGATTGTAGTTAAAAACATCCAACATGCATTTGTAATGCCATAGAAAAGTTGCAATAATATTGTGAAAATAATGAGAGTTGGATTTGAAGCTACTTCTAGAGACAAATATTCCACTTTGGTATCAATGCTAAAACAATCACAATTATTCTTAATTACATATAAAATCTTTTGAAATAATAGGATACATGCAAAATCAAAGCAACATATTCAAATTAAATTTTATTCTTTATAGTCACCATATATAAAATATTAGCTTGAGAATATTTATTTTTGCCTTTGTGAATAAAAAAAAAAAATGGTCTCATATAATATCTCCAACAAACACTTCTTCATAATTAAACAATATAGCTTAAGCAATTACTTTGATAATTGATTTTAAGATTATTAAGCAATTCTTTCTACCATCAACAATACTATGCTCTTCATAATGAGAGTCTATCAGATTCTATAAAAAGAATGTTAAGAAAGCATTAGAATTTTTTTTTTTTTTTTTTTTTTTGTTTGTTTGTTGTTGTTGTTGTTGTTGTTGTCAAGTATAGATGTACTCTCAGAACTTCACAGGATGCTGCTTTGCCATATACTTGTAGATGTTATCTAGGCAAAATGACATTGATCAATGTTAAAAATTAGTTCTCTTTTATTTTTGAACTTATCTACTATAAATTCTTTTTCTTTAATTACCATATTTTTTTTAAAAAAAATAAATGCATAATTCTATAATTAAATTGATATTATTTTAAAAAATGGCTCAAAAGTCAAATAGCTCCAAATCCAAATTTTGATAAGAAAAGATGTTCTTTAGATCCATTAATCATAATTTTTATTCAATATCACATCAAAATTCAAAAAAATGCTTCTACAACCACCAGACATAATTTTTGCAGCAATTGTAAGTTTTATTTTAAAAGATATTAATATAAGACAATTTACTTTATTATTTTAGGAAAATATCCTATATTAAGTAATTTTTTATATTTAAAAGGTCTACTTATTAGGAACTAAACTACCTCAAGTAAGTTTCTAATATATTTATATTATATCATGTTATAATTTAATATATATTTACATTTATATATATTTATATATAATAATTTTTTTGATAGAATCCATTTATAGAACAAAGTTTATTTATTTTTTGGTCTTAATACTATCAATTTAACCTCTTCAATTTTTTAATTGATCATACATTAATTAAAATTGATATTTTAAACCAATATGATTGAATTTGAGCAAGAAGTTAAGACTTTGTATCTATTTTACATCTTATTTCTCTTCCATTAAAATTTTAAATTTTGAACATATTAAATTTGGATATAGAGGTTTAGAAGAGGTTTTAGATTCATAGGTAATTTAGTTGGTATATAAGAATAGATAGGCATTATATAACATTTTTTAAAAGAATAGTTTCTATTTTTTGGCTTTTTCTACTTTATTTGAAAAACCTCTAATAAAATATAAATAAGAGATACAACCTTAAAGATAAAAATGTCTATTTTTTTTCTTTCTTCATTCTATATAATTATTTGATAAACTTATAATTATTAGTTCCTATTTACATTTTTATAATATTTATTACTGTTATAATATTTCATATTTATATTGTTATAATTCCATACAAACTTAGAACTAAAGCTATAATAAAAATAATTATTAGTTCTAAAATATTTTAAAAGAAGAGTTTTTATAAATAAATAATAAGTAAAATTGGATAAAATATCTTTAAATAAATATTAATAAATTATAAATATGATTTAAACATATCTTTCATAGAAGGCAAGTGGATTCTTCAAAAATAGCTACTATAATGTACAAAGTCAAGATTTTTATAGCAACTTTGATGTAAAATAACAAGATTTTAAAATCTAAATTTAAATTTGAGTAAATTTATATATATTTATGTAAAAATTTCAATTTCGGCTCAAACCTCTAAATTTTGATGGTTGGAATCAAAGGTTATAAATAGTTTCTTCTACTGATATTATTTATACTGTTGTATAAGTAACTCATTTGAATGCATGTCACCTAATTAGAGGTCCTTATAGAAAATTCTTTGTTTATAAACTTCTATGCTATAAAATTTTTAATTACCTTCACACAATCCACACCATTAAAAATAAGAAGATAAACAAAAGCAATAAAAACATATTTTGTAAAAAATAATAGCTACAACCACTCAATTTAAAAATCTATAATTATATAAAAAAAAAAAAAAAAAAAAAAATCTAAGTTTTTTTTTCTTTTTTTTTTAATGATTTATACTAAGCTAGTTGTGGATTTTTTCAACATATTTTTCTAATAATTATAAAGTTAGACCTATAGAAAGTAAAAATAAGGAATATTTATTGTTTCAACACTTAAAATGAAATATACGTCATACAATCTTTGATGTCAAAGTTTAACATATATCAACTATTAGAATTAAAGATGTCTATATAGAGTACTTTTAAAGGAGATAATGATAAGTTTTATAGCATTTTAGCTAATATTGCAAACTATGTCCACAACATTTAAATAAAATACAAAAAGAACAAAGACCAAGCTAATTAATAATTTTACATTACAATTACCACTAAGAGATTAATATGTATGGATATAGAGATTAAAAAAACTTCATTCACTAATATATCAATAATAATTTTTCAATAAATTATAGGCAATTCTTATCATTTTCTCACCTTGTGAAGGAATGTTCATCAATCAATTGTAAAAAAACAAATGTTACCTTGTACAAGAAGTAGGAGCAATATATATCAAAAACAGACAATGCATCTTTTTGTATTTTATTTAAATGTTTATACATTTATACCTATGAAAGAAACATACCTATGAAAGAAACAACATTTATACCTATGAAAGAAACAACATTTATACCTATGAAAGAAACAATACCAAATTTTGCAATGACAATAAAAACTAATAATAAGACAAAAGAATCTACATTAATACTAAACTTTTTGGTACTAATATCTCAATATAAGGTAAAAGTGGAAGAAGATTGCTTTACAATATCAAGATTTGTGACTTCTATAATCCAAGTTGAAACATAATGAACAAAGAAAGGTTTAAAAACTTCTTAATGATGTAGTGGAATGCATTCCAAAGCTCATAACTTAAAAATAATAATAATAATAATAATAATGACAAGAATAGCTTGATTAGAAAACCACATATTAAGTTTTAAATTTTTTATATAAAATAAAGTAAATAAAAATGAGTATATGAATGTGCAATTAAAACAAGTATTATGAATCAAGAGAAATCCTTGAAAACAATTAAATTTGGATGCACCTACATCAATTTCAAATCTTGAAGCAATCTATTTATTCAAGAAATGAATATATTTAAGAGAAACCCTTTCAAAACAACCATTCAATTTTGACGTGACAACATCAAGTCCAAATCTCGAAGAATATATTGCTACAGATTGATGAATATTGTTCAAAATAATAGTCCAGAACCAAAATCTCTGGGTATATTCAAATGCATCAATCACAGTACCGTGAACGAACCAGAGCCTCAACTCTGACCTCACCTCTACTTCGAAAGTTGAATTCGTTACATGGGGCAACTCTATGAAACATTTACTCTATTACAAAACTTACACTAGTGAAAAATACATCGATGTTTGAAGTACCTCATATTATCTACAGTAATGAAGCAGGCACACTTGAATAGATTTGGCCTACAATTGGTTTAAGTTCTTAGTCACAGTAACCTGGAATAACCATCGTGTACAACAAAGATGTAATTTATAACTATACCACTCACTCAATTGCAGTAATAAGCACATTAAGACACCGTTTTTTGCCAACCAAATATGTGCACTGAGTGAGGGTACCATACACAACTTATTCACGCTCTACAGCTTCAAAAACGGTACAAAATTGCTTCACGTCAAGACCTCGGAACAGCAGAATCAGAGAGTCATAGTCATTCAAAAGGAGGCACTGACACTAAAACAACAAGACAAAAGGAAGACAAGATATAGCAGATACTTAACTTCCAAACAGCACACGAAAGTACAAGATCAAACCAGTCGTCTGTGTTATTTAGACCTAGTAGTTCAGCTCTACTGATGGCTCAGACACCATGCACATTGTCTGCGAAATGTAGATAGAATCGCACTAGTGTGGATGACGACGCAACCCTACACTAAAACCGCCAGAATGTAAGCTAAACCGGGCATATTGTTGATGGTTGCTGAGACTGGATAACTGCTCCTTGTCCGGGTTGGGGTGAGAAGAAGAAGATGAAGAAGAAGAAGAGACGCGGCCGGCCAAATCAGCCTCCACTAGTGGGCGCAAAACTCATGGAGTCGACATTGTGTCGATACTGCACAAGACTGGGCAGCAGCCACAAAATGACGATGTGAGTCGACAGCTTTGCGCACGTCCAGCGACGAAAACTTTGGCACAAGGGCGACAACCTTGTAATTTGATCCCAGCATTATTTGCTGTAATGCAGTGTACAAATACGAAGGTTGAGGTCTCCACCCTCGTGTTCCTGCACCACCGATGGGACTCGTAGATAAGTTTCCTGGTGGAGAGAGAATGATTCAAACCATGCAACCGAGATCGTGGAGTTGGACTGTGGAAGGAAATGGCCGATCGCTACCCTGTTCTATCCAGTGTTTTGAATACCGGCCGCGATACCCTTCATGGTGAGAATGAGAGTATCCTCCAGTCCGGGTGGGAACTCAGTTGTGGGGTTCAGTTCAACCAGCTCTGCAGCACGCTTGGGTGTTGTTGGTATGTCGGATTGGTCCTTGCTGCTGTTTTGTAATGCACAGAACTGCAAGCCCTGATCACGCATCTTCTTCAGCACTAGCGCCTGCTGCACGTTGAGAGCCGTGATGTAGGGTTCTCGAAGCCGCAGCCGTTGCTTCAGCGACGGGTTCCCTTGCAAGATTTCATCGTGGAATGTTATCTGCATAATTTACGGTTTGAACTTTGCGTTGTCAGCTTACTAACTTCGACAAGCAAACTGAAGCTAGAAGAAGAAGAAGAAGTCACACGATAACTATCAATCATGGATACTCTTCAGTGAAAATATATATATATATATATATATATATATCAGTCTCAAGTGAACGAACTCCACCTTCAGAAGGAGATCTCTTGTCTCGTTGTACTTCTGCCTCAGCTCCTCGCCAAGCGGTTTCAGCTCGTCCGACACAAGCAAGTCATCATATAAAGCGGCAATACGTGGATCACCCTTGGCAAACACCATCTCCACCAAGTCGATAGTCACACGGAAAAAGGGCCACTGATTGTACATTCGGCGAAAAGTGGCAATGTTCCTAGGGTCACTCTGCAGTGCCTGTTTTAGGGCAGAACCAAGACCAAGCCACACAGGCAGATGAAATCGTGTCTGGGTCCAAGCAAAAATCCAGGGAATGGCTCGAAGGGACTCAATGCCTCCGCTTGGTTTGCGCTTGGATGGACGACTTCCAATGTTCATGCGCCCATACTCCAGCTCGGGTGTCGCCTGATCAACCCACAAGTCATGAATAACAGTCAGCACCAGCGACATGCACGCACGACTGGAACAAATTCCTCGGAAACGTTTCTCGAAGAGACCCTCGAAAAGTAGCAACGAAGCATGGACTATTGAAGACTATCTCAACAGTGTGTGGAACAGCACGTCTTCAGGTTCTCACCGCACGGAAATATTCTACAAAACTTGGGTTCTGGAAGACGATGGAGCGGTACTCTTTGGTGGACGCCACGGCCATGGCGTCCATAAGCTCTCTCCATTCGGGCTTGGGGGCGATGGGAGGGTGCATTCCGTGCTCCAGAGTAGCTGCTGTAAAACGCTGCAAAGTCCTGAAACAGAGATGCTCCTCACCGAAGGATTGCTCAATGACCTCCCCCTGGATTGTCACTCGCAATGACCCGTTAATCGTGTCCGGAGGCTGTGACAAAATGGCAAGATGGGTTGGCCCCCCACCCCTTCCCACCGTGCCTCCCCGACCATGGAACATAGTGAGGCGAACACCATACTGCTTGGCAACTTTCACCAAGTCCTCCTGTGCTTTGAACATTTGCCACGCTGCCGACAGACGTCCCGCATCTTTTCCTGAATCTGAATATCCTATCATGACCTGGACCAGAATGAAAAGAAGAATGAGATGGTCGCTTGAATGAGGAAGTGCCTCAATTGCAACAAAGTGAACACAAATACTTGGACCCTTGAGAGAGGTTTTGACATACCTCTTGCTTCCCATTGATACGGTTCAGGTACCAGTCAATTGAGAATAGGCGTGAAAGGGCCGCCGGGGCTGCTTCCAAGTCAGCGAGCTTCTCGAACAAGGGCACCACTCGCAGTGGCTTCTTAATCCTACACTCGCGTTGCAGAAGCTCTACTGCTAAAACATCAGACGGAGCTGTTGCCATAGAAATGACGTATGCGCCAAAGCAATCTTGAGGAAGCTCGGCAACGACTTTCATCGTGTCCAGAACATCCTTGATCTCCTCCGTCGTTGGTAGATCGGCTCCAAAAAGAGGACGCTTTCCACGGAGTTCAGAAAGAAGCCATTCCTGAAACATTCGGCAGCCATCGGTCAACTCTTACCGGACATTTAACAGAACGAAGTCGTTGTTTAGTAAAAGTTTTTCAATGAGGCTAACACCGCAAGAGGAAGACTCTCGCGGCCGGCGCTGAACCTACATTAGATCAATCGAAATCCATAGGGGATTCTTTCTGTGAAGCGCATCCCTCTCATCATGTCATTCGATCCTACTCTTCACAGCAAATCCTTGTACGAGAACACACCTGACGTTGCTCCTCAGTCCAGTTGCGATACGAGCCAATGCCAAGGTGGTTGGTGATGGCATCAATAACGTCAGTATGACGATCAGACTCCTGTCGAATGTCTAACTTCACCAAGCTCAAACCAAAACACGAAACCTGGCGCATAAAGTCCAAAAGACTTCCATCTGCAATAGGCTTATCGCCAGTCTCACAAAGCGACCTGTAACACAGCTCTAATGGCTCCAAAATCTGTCATACAATAACGACGAGGACGTTGTAAGTATATGTCAACTGACAACCAACTATGGTCAATCTGTATGTCCTATTACCCACAAGAAATCAAACCATGCAATTAATGATACAAAAAAATTACGTTGTTCATTACTAGTAACCGACAGCTTCCAATTCTGAGACAAACAAAGCACACCACACCGAGTGGCCACCGGGTACAAATATGCAAAATAGTTGCCAGGTTCTGTTGTGACAAGATCCCAGGTGCCAACTTAGGATTACAGGAAGCTAGTGACATGTGTAAACATGCAAAGGAAGAGTAACAAACCTGCGAAGCATCAGTGTACGTGTCTTCGATAGGAATGTCGCTTTTCCCATTCTGTAACAATAGCCGCATGCGTTCGCGTGTGTTGTATAATTTGTCACGCATATCTCCTAATAAAACCCTGAAAGGCTCACTGGGAGGAATGTGCTTCCAGAATTCTGATTCACATCAATACACATTGTCTGGGTCAGCACGGAGTATCAGCTTAACACGGCAACTGCAGCTCATCCTATCAAGCAAAGAGCAGAACAAGTTTTTATGAACCGTGTCATTTCAGCCTCTTAAAACATGTCAGGCAACTCAGAGGATTACCAATGTAGTGTTTTGCCTCCTTGCGTTGCAGTGACTCGATTTTCAGTACCCTTGCTTTAAGCTCATCGCTGCACCGCCACATTGATAGCTGAAATAACACACATAAAAGTTAAATCCACAAGCTCAGTCGTTTAATCCAGTTATTTAAACATTCATGTTCAAAGAACACACTGATATACAACGTAGATATCCGTGTAGATCTTATGCTAAGAAATTCTGCTAAATAACACGTTTCCTTTGAACCATTGGTTACGAAACCCACAAATGAAGAATGATAGGAGAGTGAGAAGCCCAAACCTCAAACATGAGTTCCTCAATCTGGGAGAAATAAAGGTTCGCTGCCATCAGTCGGGCCAGCAGACACACATCTCTGGTAACCTCTGGCGTCACACGAGGGTTTCCTGGTTCAAAGATAAAACGAATTAAGTGAGTTAGAGGTTCCAAAATCGTAACAGCACCTTTATAGTGCATGCAACCGGTCTACCAGAAACCCAGAGGAGATAAACCAGAGACGATGTTAGTGTGGATATCCCCACAATTTGACCAACTTGTGGAGAACATCCATGCAGTCCCACTATCACTTCCCACAATGAAAATGAATGCACCCAAATGGGACTGCTCTCAATGTCGGATTCAACCTTTGAGGTCATATAAAGGTGTCAGTAGTCCACCTCCCTTAACTCGTACAATTCTTCATGGCCAACTTAACCCTCAACCTATCTAGTGGTGTCTTAGACAATCTACCGTAACTGGACACTGTTTTATCATGTGTAAGGATTCGCGTTCAAGGGACATTACTGACCAAAGGTAACCGTGAAACTTATTCTCGATGTAGTGTCAACCATATGGTCAGACTACATGTGTCGCGTCGCCTTCCTACATCATAGATTTGGGAATAGATTGTAAAACATGAACATTCACATGATGCTATTCTCAAAGCCGAGTATGTCACATAACAACAGCGTACAAAAGCCTTGTAAGGTGGAAGGGTCAAGGCTTACCATCACGATCGCCACCCATCCAGGAAGAGAATTGGATGAGTTTGACATTGTATGGAAGACGCTCCTTGACTCCAATCGACTTCAATGCGGTGTCCACACGACGCAAAAACTTGGGCAAACCGTTCCATATTGTTTCGTGGAAGTAGCTCATGCCGGCACGCATCTCATCCTGGGGTGTGGGTTGGGATCGCCTGATCTCGTCAGTGCGAAAGGCGGCTTGAATCTGTGCAAGGGAGCCACTGTGAGTGAAATCACCGCTTCAGCTCACACACTAGCAATGCAAAACCAATCCATTCAGGCTTTGAACAGCGCACCTCTCGTTGAAGAGCTTCGTCCAGCTCTTTCTTTTCGTCCGCGGTGATGTCTTTCTGATACATCTGTGATAGACAATTTCGAATCCTGCAAAACTCAAACCCCGTGGGCGCATTGCTAAGAAACTGACAAGGATTCCGCAAAAGAACCGATAATGCATAAGCAGCAGCAGCAGCAGCAGCCTTAGTCCGTGACACGATCGCATATACGTACTAGCAAAACAATTGCTGTCTAAAACTGACATTATTAAAAACATTGAATATTAGAGGACCTACAGCTAGACGTGGCCCCAGGTTCACGTAAATCGCTGCACAGCTAGAATAAATTGTACGCAAAAATCGAAGTTTTGTACCGAGAATGCTTCTGAAGAAGCGACCGTCGGACAGCCTGAGTAGGATGCGCCGTCAAGACAAGGTCCACAGTTTGGTCTTTCAATGCCTCGAAGATCTCCTCAGGTGATTTTTTGAGCTGTTTTACAAGCCGATGCAATGTCTCCTCCATGTCCGACTCAGTCAATGCACTGTTCTCATCTCCAATATCACCTTTCTTAGCATTCGACACACGCCTTCGCAGAGCAATTTGGACCTCCTCGGCTAAGTTTCCAAGATTAAGCATGTGTGAGAATGAACTTGCTACCACAATGTTCACTCCAGGGTCTAGGTTGTTGAGCATTTCTGCAAGCTGCCGGAGCTTTTCGACGTCCCCATGGCCATCCGTCTTGGAGTATAACCCAGACAATTCGTACAAATCCTGGACCTGCAGTGATCAAAAACACACACTCATCACCAGGTCCCTCAATTTCTCGGATACAACTTACCGACGCAGCCCCAAGGTGCTTATAATAGCACTTCATTTGCTAAACCAGGAGGGATACACACCAGTGTGGTCCTGCTAATTCAGCTGAGTTCCCTTTACTTCACCAATGGCCTGACGTATTTCGCAACAAATACAATCCACGCCCCCAGGTGATAAGAAACGCACAGCAAACCAATAAACACCACCCAGTCCACATATACTAAGGACGATTCGCAATTCAAGCTGACGGTCTCGAGCAAGCCTGCTCCAGGGCTACAGTACCTCTCCCACGAGACAGAATTGCCACTACAAATTCGGCTATAGCAACCAGGGATTCTGTCAATTACCGTGTCCTTGAGCTCTTTGCCGTGAAGCTCTTCGAGAATATCCAGGAACCGATCGAGCAGCAGTGCGTCGTACTCGATGAGCTTGTCGTCATCGGACACTCGTTTCGGCACGAGTAGCCGCATCTGAGCGTCAATAGACGCCATCTTTTGCAACATCATCTTGACAAACTTAACTTACCAAACGACCACTCCTGTCACGATGTTTCAATCGCCTACTCACACTCCACGCCTGCTCCGCACCACTGACTGAGCTACACAGAACACCCACAACAGCCCGTCACGCTTTATAATCCTGTCCGAATTCGTCCACTCGTTACACTCACTCTCTCAAGACCACCCAATTCTTTAACTGAAAACTAACGGTCGCAGCATCCGCATCCGCATCCGCACCCGGGAGACGGTACCACGAGGCGGCTCCCCACAAATCAAGCCCAAGAAATACCGGAAGGGCAATGCCGACGACCTCGGCACAAACAGACACGCACTGACTGCCCCGAGAAAGAGCCTCCCTATACTCTGCTGCTCACTACTGCATGCGACGACTCCATTTCCCAACAAACCTCCACCCCCTCGGCATTCCAGGTCTCTTAAACAATCTTGCGGCGACTCTTTGGGAGGAATCTTGTGACAATACCCTCACCTCACCAGTCGGACAATTCTCTCCACACAAATGCGCCCGTCTCTCCAAGTGGAAGGCCAACACACAAACTAAAGCAGCTCTCGAATAAGGTTAATAAAATCCTATCCTGGAACTTACTATAAAATCCTGCGGAGTGTAGATGAAGGGGACAGATGGACGCACGCGAACGGCAGATTCGAGGTGCTGCTGGCTGCTGTTGCTACTACTCTTACTGGAAGCTGATGCCGCTTCAGCTGGCTGCTTCTGCTGGCTGAAGATAGTCCTTCAACCTCAGTCTCTCACATGATGTCATGTCTTCTTCCTCTGACGCAGCCTCCGTGATGCTGCTATTGGTGCAGCTATGGCTCGGGAATCTCTTAGAGCATATCCCTCTCGCTTGCTTCTGGATCTCTCTTTCTCTTTCTCTGGTTCACTCCTTCTCTCCTTCCAGTGCCGGCCTGTCGATCTGTACGTTGACGACCCGTCCCACCAGAAAAGAAAAACAAAAATAAATAAAATAAATGAAAGTAAACTTGTCGCGGGCGAATTCTGTGTGGGTGGGTGAGTGAGTGGGTAGATCTGTGGTTTTTTCTTACGTACCATTCCTCCCTGGGATTCCATTTTCTCAACGCCTCTTGTCACTCATCCTCCGGAACCAGTTCCCGTGTGTTCCGTTAAGTCATCCATCGTTCTCTCTCAATCTCTCTCTCCCCCTGTGTCGCTCATTCCCCTCCGTACTGCTAATCTCTGCCTTTGTTTTTTTTACCGCTCACGTCGCGGACGATCACCACCACCAGTTTCTGCCGCTCATCCGGTCAATCTGGCGGAGATCACGATGCGGTTTTCGTATTTATTGAAATTTTGTTTATCGATCCCTTGCGCTGATCATCGGCCGCAGGTTACAGTGTATGTGCACCGTGTGTGACGAAAAAAAGCCACCGCCACCATTGTCACTATTGCCACCATTGTCCCTGATCATCAACAAGCCAGCAAGCACACCAACAAACTCACTGTACTGTAACACGATGGATCTTCTTCTTCATCACAACGCTGCTGCGAGATCTAAATCGTCTTGGCCAATTCGCTTTTTGTTATGAACCCCCCCCCCCATCCCATGATCTAGCACGATCTTCCCTTGTCTAGAATGTACTGAATCCCTGCTTCTTCTTCCCATGATCTGCAAATAGTTGCAAAATAGTGTGAGCATGAGTGTGAGTATTGTGCTTTTATGGGTAGTAACTGCATAATACTCCCACAATACAGTCTCTCTTTCTCTTTCTCTCTTCCCATGTGTTTTTAAATTATATTACTGGGGTTCCTGCTCTGAGGACATGGGGTGGAATAACAGTATGCCTTCGATGATGCGGTGTGTGTTTTTGTTTAATGAACATGTGTGTGTTGTGGATAGAATCTTCTTGTTTGTTTGTGTTTGTTTGTGTGTGTTTGTGAGTGTTTGTGAGCCCATTCTTTGTCTGAAGGCATCTTCTGTGACGGGAGTATATGCTTTGGGAAGTTGGGCAAATAATTCTTTGTATTAACAGAGTTGATACTTTCTTTTGAGGTTATTTTAAGTCTGCTTTGTGGAATTATGTTACAGGTCAAGAACTATTGTATGAAGTGCATCTATGACTTGTGAATTCAAAACAAAATAACAAAATAAAAAAATTAAAAAAATTAAAAAATCTTAGAATAGTCACCATTGTACTTTATCTGATAAGAAGCTGCTTATTGAATATACATGTATATATATATATATATATATGGTATAATATCTCCTGGTTTACATAAGAAAGTGTGTAATTATAACTTCCAGCTCATATATTTCAGAATTTGTAAAAAAATAATTTGTTTATTATAAAATAATAGCATTGTAATAGAAAGAAAAGAAAAAATAATAATAAATAATAAAAATAAGTTATAGAATTTGTGTCTCAGTAATGTCCAACAATAAAATCACTTACTTCAAAATAAATATAATCAGCAAACAAAGCTTCACGAAGTACACTACCTTATTCAATGAAAATAGTTAAATTAATAGACAAACACGTTTTTGTAGTTTTAAAACTTCAGTAAAGTGGTTTTAAGGCCTTGAAGGCATCGAGTTCATATGCGTTTGTGTACAATTATAAATAAAATCACACATTAAAATTGGACTGTTGTGTTCTGCATGTATTAAAAGCAAAAAGACTTTATTAAATCAAATTAAACTCTTTGTCTAATTGAACAGATTGGATATTCTGAATTTATATTATCCAATATTAAAAGATACAAACACATAGTATCATATTCATCCTAATATGTGTATGATTATTAAAATATATTTTGAAAAATAAATATAATATAACACATGTCATAAAACAAGCATAGTAAAGTCACTCTACTAGTCTCTATGTACTTACATAATATCAACTATGTATCAATTAATTATAAAATTTTGTACTGAAAATTTGATTACACAAGCAAGTGTTTGACACACATATATATATATATATATATATATATATTTACATTTTGCTACTTAATAGCATTTAATAACCAATGGAATTTTAAACATATAGTTGTGTATTGATTCACCTCATCTTTAACCAAGTGAGATTATTTTGATTGACCTAAAATCATGTTAGACTTGACTTGCCAACAAACTCTTTGTAATTTGATCTACAAATTAAGAGTGAAAGGTAATGGTCTCATAATACTCAGTTATAAATGCAACAGATTCTTGCATTAAAAAAAAAAAAAAAACAAAAACAAAAACTATTATTATTATTATAATATTTGTCAATTGAATAACATGTTTCAATTTGTTACTTTCACATAAAATTAAGGAATTATTAGGTGGACACCCCTTTTTATCATGTGAACATTCTCCCATGCCACACCAACAATGCACTATTGTTACAAGTTTTTCAACAAGCTAGAGGCTAAAGAAGCTAAAGAGTATAAAAAACAACATCTCACAACACAAAAATATCAACAATACAATGCTAAATAAAGAAAATAAATAACAAGGGTATCCACATAGTTGCTTGGCTTGGTGGACACTCCTCTTTTATTATTTGTTTTGTTTGCTTATATTAACTTTTGTGTCTCCAATATTCATGTGTTGTAGGTTATTATATATATATATATATATATATATATATATATATAACAAGAATTTTGTTAGTATCTACCATGTTGGAAAAATTATAGCAATAGTGTGTTGTTGGTGTACTAAAAGGTAAATGTATACATAGTAGAAGAAGGGTGTCCACTTGCCAACTTCCTAAACTTATCTTGTATATTTTACCATCTTTATATTAAATAATTTGCTAAACGTTTGCTATAAATTTATGGAAGATTGAAAAATATTTGCATGTACTTTTCTGTGTAAAACCAAAAATTGTATATCTTCAGAACATTTTAATGATGTACTTACAATGACAAAGAAATAAAAACACACACATATCCTCTTGGTAAGGAACCTGCAAGTTAGATTCTGGAATGGGTTACTCACTTGATGTAGTCACATTATATACTGAAGTGAGCATAACAATTGTATTTGGAACTTTAACATGTTTTTTCAAGTGTATTTAATGGTAGGTCTAAAGAGTTGTATGCAATCATTTATTATAATATTAATTGTTATAAGTTTGAGGTTAATTTCATAGAATAGAGAGCATGACAGGAGGAATGTATATATATATATATATATATATACATAATCACACTTATTTATTTATTTATTCTAAAGATACCCACATATTAAAAGTTTGAGGGTTTAAATGGATGAAAAATATCCAACATAGAAAGCATACAAAGTGGACATGAAGATTTCGTTTTCGTTTCACTTAAAGTGAAACACCCAAATTTTCACATAATTGGGGGAAAAAATATAAAGAATAAAAAATAAATCTACTTCTCGCAGTTACAGACAGAATAAGACATTAAAAACATTAAATCTAAAACTAAAACATACACAGTTTCAATTTGGCACAGTTTCCCTTTGCTTTATTTTGCAAATGATATTCTTTTAGAAAAATGCTCTGTCCACGTAACTCATATGATGAGCATATACCAAATATAAAGGGACTTGGCTTGAAATGCAAGCATCTAACATGTTATCATATATAAACATATACCCTTATAGAAGAATGTGCACTAAGGAATATCAACATTGTTATGATAATTATTCTTATTATAACTATTATCACGCACAATGAAAGATTCAAACACAAAATTAGGGTTTCGCACTGAATGCACTTCCTAAGGCACTAGGGCGGCGGGGCTTTACGACTCGGCACCCGTGATTGAACCGTGACCACGTCATCATCTCGGCTGACCCAGCACCGCTCCCATTGGCTCCCACCCCTGTCCCACCTAACAATGTCAGGGACGCCCCTCCCACGCGTCACGTACCTTCCAGAGTTCGATCTTTCGGCGCGGATCTCGAGGCTATTTCCCCGCTGCCCCCGCTGCCCCCACCTTCCACATGGGCACGAGGGTTTTTGTTTCGGGCAGCACCATCCCTCTGCCCGGGATAAAAAAAGTCTGAGCAACACGTTTTCTGTGTTCTGACAATGTGGCGCCAAATTATCTCGTAATGGATGGATGGATGAATTCCGGATTTTCGAATCGTTCATCCTGTGTTGGTTTCATTCATCTGTTCGGTTTTTATTTTAGGGTATTATAAAAACGGTTTTGGGGTTGATAGATATGGTGCTATTTTGATTCTTAATGAGAATAACTATTTCACTTGGAACATACTATTTAACAAATACTAATCATTTGTGGTATTTTCTCCAGAATGTTGCATGTATATTATAAATTATTTGCAATACTACTTGATTTTGTGTAGTTACGTGGTGTAATATTTTATTTGTAGTCTTAGTCTAATGAATGTTCTACCAAAACATTTACTCTTGCCCTCCCTTCCACATTCTAGCAAGAAGACCATGACACAAGAAATTTAAGATAAATGAAACATAAGCCATTTATGATAGTGGATGTATTGCAAGATATACATGGTGCCCACAAATTAAACCCAATGAGGCTTGAATTAGTGATCTAGAGTACCTATGTCAATCAAGCTACCATTGCATTCCAATCCAAAATTATGTACATTATTCACACAAAAATGGCTATGTACACAATTGTGTTTTTAACATTGCATACATGTAATGAATTTGGGGTGATTTTGAATATGTTAAGAAAGATGAAATTTTCTCACAATTATAAAATATTAAAAAATTAAAAATATGTATCACTTAGGTGTAGGGTTTAGGGTTTTCAGTT